AGAAAGGTGACATCAACACTCATCATATATTCACATTATTTGTTGTGGCCGTTGTCGTTTGGTTTCATCATGTCTGGCTGTTGCGATTCGGCAACAATAACAACCGATATTCGGCTTAAACATATTGAACTGATGTCTCCGATACCACTAATAATAGAAGATGGAGGACATGTCCAAAATTGACAGCCATCGGCCTTACAATTTTACATAAACAGTAGTTAAATGAGTAAGGACCGAAGATGGGAACAACCTATCTTGAGCTTTCAGAAATGTTCCATAGACATGCAACGGTTACGGTTAAGTGTAACCGTAAATAACAAATTTATAACAACTTAGTGTATGTTTGGTTTTTTAGTTCTTTGATATTGGTACATGTTCTTTTTTTATCAAAGCGAACTCAAACAACACAAAGAAAAGAAAACTGCCCTTTAGTCTGTTATGAGAGCCACAACATGTTTGAAAACATTTTGGCATGCGCATTATTTGCCCGATGTTGATGTTGTTACCTTAGTCGACTTTCTTGTCCAAGATCTTACTTTCTTGGTGCAAGAAGTCTCTTTGATTTATGGTGGCTACTCTTGCTTTCTTGCAGAGAATCAACTACCCTAGTAGTGTCCGCGCTTCATTGCACGTTCCGAGGCCATAATAATCTTGCCGCGCAATATCCAATTTGAATCGCTATCGCGGACGCACATATTCGTGAATTTTTCACGTTCAAAACTCGCTGTTGTGTCCGAAAAGAGCTCACGACAGGATCGCGATTGAGATGGTAGCAAGGTTGTCATTGAATTTGCTTGTTGCACCACACGGTCGCTATTGAAATCGACTGTTTCAATAGGGATAGTGACAGGATCGTGTTCAAATTGGGTATATCGCGGCAAGATCTCGGCTTTATAGTAAACCATTACAGGATGATGAACCTGTAATTGTGAGCACTGTTAGAAGCTTTAAAAGGTTCTCGAAACCTACTTTTCATAGTTACTACTGGTTTCCATTCTTTAACTAGAAGAGTGAGAAACATTTCTCAGAGACATGCGCGTATAAAAAGAGGAAGAGAGTTCAAATACTGCCGCATAAAAATTTCAATGAATTCTTATGTAGGGATTTCTACATAGAAAAAGAATGAAAAACAACACCTATGGATACAAATCTTTTGAAAAGAAAGTTTTCCGTTAGGTAGTGAAGACACTGATTTCAACATGTTTTGCCCGGTTTTCTCTTCGGGAACATAATGCAATTCAGGTGAATGATTCACCGCAGATTAAGGTTGAGCGTAAAATAAGCACACAGCAATTTTATTTGTAAATACGCTCCCGCTTTCTATAATTCTTCTTAACTGGTCATAGAAATTATGATAACGGTATTTTGAACTTGAAGAAAAAGTTTGATTGTTATTTCTAAAACAAATTCAGTCTTACACTTCTCTAAGTTCTCTCATGTATTTCTCCATTATGGCTTAACATATAACTAGTAATCCATCTCAAAATAAAAGTGAGAGCGGTTACCATTTTATGGTTCGCTTGTGAATATTACCGATAAGATAGCATTTGCCGCATGTGATGAAAGCATTCACGCTTAGACTGTCAGAGAATGTTTTCTACACGCTCATGTAAAAATCTTTTGAAAATCTCCGGCCAATTTTGAGCTAGATCCAACAGCTTATTGAGAAAGCATCTACAACCAAAACACGAAAACGTACAGCTACTACAACAGCGGTAAAATCGACTCCGGCGAAAAACGTCAAGAAAAAATCTCAATAAAGGTATAGTTGAAGGAATATTACCTGTAACAATCTTAGACACTAATTTAATTAGAGACACTTCACTTGTACGCTTGGGTAAATGCAGACACTCCATTCAAATACATGGCGTTTTAATGTACAATTGCTGTCGAATTAAGCTTAGGAGATAATTAGTTCGAAAATATATCATTTTATAGCCCGAATCTTCCTCTCTGTACCATATAGTTTTTAGGTCATTATCATTTAAACTCATTAAGCTAATTATTATACAATCAATAGCACCAAAGATTCTTATTTTTTTTATTTTATGCTTTGGGGTAATTAGAGACACTCCACTGAAATATACGGGATGCTCAGAGACAAACGTCTACCATCTCTCAGAAGCCGAATTTGGTATTAGACCAGGTGACAAAGTTCTACAGACTGCTGAACTCTATCATTATTAACTCATTATTCCAGTGGATAAGCTATCATGGTGGCTTCACACTATATAGAATATTAATTTGAATATATTTTATGGGCTAAATTAATTTTAAAATTATTTATGACACCTTGAGACAAAAAACTTTGATAAAATCTTCTGTCTATAGCTTTGAGAAATTGTGCGACAGCAAAATTTATATTTAGGAATTTATATTCGCTCAGTCACTGAAACTGCTGTGTACTTACTTTGCAAATTAGTTAATTTTGTTCTTTGATTCAATTCTGCTTTGAGAAACTTAAAAGAGCAGATATGAGCTAAGTTGAAGAAATAAGTATCTGATGTAACAGAAACTGCTTTTTCGTCTCATTTAAAATAAGAAGAAAAGCCTTGTAACATCATCACAAACGTGGCTGCCATATAAGTCTATGTGTACTATATAAATTCTTTCAATTTTCAAAATGTTAGACAAGCATATATATGAGCTGATTGCGCTGGTATTGTACGGTTTGACTAAAAAAAGTCAACAAAATAAACTTGCTTGGAAATTTTTTTCTTTAGTCGGACTATATACTAGTATCATCAGGGATCACGAAATAAAAAA